ACCCTAAGACAGAATTGTTTGGTCCCACTAACTTGTGAAATTTTCTTTGGAAATGGTAAAGAAATAACATTTATGAGGTACACACTATGTGCTAAGTGCAGGTTGAATATCTGTTATCTAAAATGCTTGGGACCAGAAGTGTTTTAGATTTCAGATTTTGAATATTTGCACTATACTTAGTTACCAGTTGATTATCCCAAATTAAAAAATCTAAAATGCTCCAATGAGAATTTCCTTTAAGCATCATGTCTGTGTTCAGAAAATTTGGAGCACCTCAGATTTGGGATGCTCAATTTGTACTAGTTTTATATGCATTGTCTCATTTATTCACCATAGTTATCTATTACATAGGCAGTATTATTTTCTCCTATTGACCGATAAAAAAACAGAGGCCCATTGTAATCCAGTAGATAGCTAAAGGTCACATGACCAGTGAGAAGAAGAGTTGGGATTTGGGCAAAGGCAAGTCTAATTTCAGAGTTCTCATGCTTGCTTACTCTTTAATCCTATAGGAAAGGGGTATTTATTTTTAAATGGAACCCATCAATTATTTCAGTAAGGTTAATAATGTACTTTTTCTGTATTTCAAAATTGCATTCTTTTGTGCTTTTTCCACTAGTGTACTTGTGTGCCATATGTACCTTCATGAGTTGGCTTTACAGCTTATTCTAATTGAAAAGCACTTTATGACTGAAAGCAAACTTTTTAATGAAAGATCATAATGTGTCTGTGGCTCTGAGTTAAGGCAACATGAACTATACCAGACAGGGAGCCTTGTTCTTAGAATTACTGTTCAGATGGGCCCAGGATAGATAAGTAACTTTCACATGAGAAATATTATCATATTGTGATATAATAAGAAATATATATTTTGGTCTTTGTCTATGGTTCCTAGCTCACAGCTTCTAAAAGTCTGGTAATTTCCTCAGCGATTAGCGCCATAGGATCATTTTTTATTGTGTTTGAATTTTGTTTTTAGTTCCTGAAATAGCTCCAAATAAAGATGAAAATGGTGTTTTTTTGTTACTCATAGGAAGTCCCCTTCAACCACACCTGGGTTTATGTTAATGAAACAATTTTTGGAAAGTCCCTAGATAACTGCAGGATGGGAGCTGGTTGCCATGGGAACTCAAACGTGTGTGTGTGTGTGTGTGTGTGTGTGTCTCTCTCTCTCTCTCTCTCTCTCAATCTCTCTCTCTCTCTCTCTCTCTCTCTCTCTCTCTCTCTCTCTCTCTCTCTCTCTCTCTCTCTCTCTCTCTCTCGACTAGAGGGTTGGAATTTTTAGCCCCACCTGGACCTTTGACCGTTTGGGAGGGAAGAGGAAGGAACTGGAAACTGACTGAATTACCAATGCTAATGATTTAATCAATCAGGCCTATGTAATGATCCTTCCATAGAAACCCAAAAGGATGGAGTTCAGAGACCTTCCAGGTTGATGAACAAGAACACATTTACCTGCTGAAGGGGTGGGTGTACCCCAAAACTCCACTGGTACAGAAGCTTCTATACTCAGGACCCTTCTGGATCTTACCCTTTATATCTCTTCATCTGGCTATTTATTTGTATCCTTTAATTATCCTTTGTAGGGCTGGGCGCAGTGGTTCTCGCCTGTAATCCTAACACTTTGGGAGGCCAAGGCGGGTGGATCACCTGAGGTCAGGAGTTCAAGACCAGCCTGGCCATCATGGTGAAACCCCATCTTTAAATTAAAATATATATATAATATATATTAAATATATATTATATACATATATATTTAACATTTATTTATTTATTTATTTATTTTGTAATAAACTAGTAATCTAGAAAGTAAACTTTTCCTGAGCTCTGTAGGTTATTCTAGTAAATGATTAAACCTGAGGAGGGGTTGTGGGAACCTTTGATTTGTAGCCAAGTTGGACAGAAGTGGTATATATCCTAATATAACCTGGGAACCTGCCACTTATGATTGGCATGTGAAATTGGGGGATGGGGAAGCAGTCTTGTGGGACTGAGCCCTTAGCTCATGGGGTCTAATGCTATCTTCAGGTAGTATCAGAACTGAGTTAAATTATAGGTCACCCAGTCAGTGTCCATTGGGGGATTGAATTGTTGTGAGGAGAACCCCAAACATTTGGTGGCTAAAAGTATTGATGTAAATAGTAGCATATAGGAATATTTTCCTATACACATATGTAGTGTAAGTTTAAAGTAAAAAGTCAGTTTTATATTGTCAGGAGTGACTTTTTTTGCCCCTTAATATTACTGCTATAACTGCTTTACTAAGGAATAGTTGCTTGCTTTTATGTATTTGGCACCTACTGTTACTGTTCTAAAAAGTTTGCAAGTATTCACTTATTAATTAAATCTACAAATGACTGACTGTATCCATGAAGTGAGTTATTCTAAAGATAATGGAACACTTATATGCTCTAGAAATTTGTTATGAAAAATACATTAATATATATCTCCTAAAGAATATGACTGGTTTTTCCCAGGACTCAAATTTTTCAGTCTTTTCCTGACACCGTATTTTATTATGCATAAACAGTATGCCATAGAACCTCTCAAATCACAACTTAACATTGAATTCCTTCTCATTTCAGTGGTATCAACCCAGAGAAAGCATCTAATTTTAAGCCTAAGCAATTGTTCCTTTCTTTTGAATAAAAAGCTGTCTTCCCTTTGAGGCATGAAGGTCTATGGCTCAAGAAACCTTATCAGGATAGTGAAATTGAAGATGCTCTTCTTACTCACATAAACATGATTCTCTCTTTGGAAAATTACTGTGGATGGTGCTTCGAAAATGCCATAGCCATGCACACATGCTCTCTCCATGAAAGCCACCACCCATCCTGAGGTGTACTTTTTTTTTTTTTTAAGCCTTTCTGGAGTTTATTTCTTAGTTTTCTGAATTCACTCATATTTTTGTCTTTTTAGTAAACAACACTAGTAACAACAAAGCCTGATTTCCCTTCTGAGTATCAGTGACAGTATTAATGGCCACTTTTGCTGTTAGTAAAAAGAACATGTGCTGGAATTGATGAGACCTGGACTCCAGTCATACTTCTTTCATTGACTAACTTTGTGACTTGGGACAAATCTCTTAATATGTTTGCATCCTCAATCCCCATCTGAAAATGAGGGGATTGGGAAAGATGACTTCTTAGAGCTTGTGTGATGTGAGACTCTCATACATAGATCTTAAAATCGCACATGTTTATTCTCCTTAGATTTCAGTCAGTAATGGATATTATCACTAGCATTTAATCAAGGAAGCAGGAAGTTATCCATTGTGGCTAGCTGCTATCTACAGGAATTTGGTCTAGAAGCAGGGCAGACTAGTCAGCCAGTGTCTTCATGAAGTACCTTTGTCTTCCACCATCCATTCCCACTGTGAGAGCTGTTCCTCTAGTGAGGCATTTCTAAGCAGCTGTCCAGAGAACTCTACCCCTTGAGATATCCTGAGATATCTCAAATTTGTTTGGGAAGTACTATATCCTTTTTGAAGATTCACAGTGCATGTCAATATGCTTAGGACTCTGAGAAGTTCTGTATTCAAAATGCTTGTTAAGCTTTGCTGAACCTAGCACTTCTTTAACTTCATTTGGTCATGGAACTATTTCCTTTATCACACCTATCAACATTCTAAAAGAATAAAATTCCTCAGAATAGAATATTTTGTTATTTGTGAGTTAAAAACTGCAGAGCCTTCATAAGACTTTTCTTGTTGGAAAAGGAAGGGAATTGTAGGCTCTACAACTCATTTAATGAATGTCTGTCAAGATAAGCCCTCTTGGTAGATGTTTTCTTCAGCTATTTTCCTTACAAACATCAACCATAATAGAGTGCCTGTTATCTTTAATAGGACAAAGAGCACCCATTCTCATTGGTAATAGTGCAGCTTTGTTCCTCTACACTGAGGACTAGTTCCCTGACTTTACATATTCTTGTTAGCCTCTGGGTTTTATGACATCTTTTCAGAAATAGCTGAAACTGATATAGAACATGCACATATTCTGAGCACAAGAAAGATGACTATTATTGGTGACTGTTGGAAGACAGTTCTCTATGGGTCTCCAGTGTTTCTGTATCCTTTCTTCAAAAATAAATGTTTGAGGATATTTGTACAGAGAACAGCCTTGAAAGATAGAGATAATATCTTTCTCTGGAGCAAAAGACAGACATGTTTACGGTCCAGTATAATAAATATAATGTTTCTCTCCAAAGCAAATGGCAAGCATACTTACTACTCATAAAAGGTTGACATTCCCTAAGCTCAGGATTCCTCTTCTATAACACAATCCACTGTGAATTTAGGTGCTTTCTGGCTCTCTTTGCATCTCCCTGTGGAAAGTGGGATGACAGGAACTGATAGAAAAATGCTGATATTTTGAATACTGCTATTGAAGTGAGTAGTAAACTTTCTTTTGTCTCTGACCCAGGAGTTTTCATGTCTTATACCACCATCCAAGAATGTGTAGCAGGCTAATATTTTAGTTTCCAAGGATAAGAAAATGTCAGAGCCTCCACATTTCTTTACAACAACTAGCATTTTCCTCTATACTAGGTAGAAATTGATGGGATAACTTGATATCCTTATCTGCTCTCCCTCTCTGAATCATTCCTGGTCTAATGAATATTCTCTCCTGTGAATGCTTTTCTAGGTCTGTTGTGGCATTTATGATAGCCTTCCATCCTTGTTTCTGAGGAAGAGTCAATAGAGATCTATTAGAAGTGATATACTCTGATTATAGAATTTCAAAGAAAAGGCATCATTAATTTAAAGTTCATCATGATGACATTTCATTACAATGGTGAGACAATATTTTATATTCTATTTTATTTTGAAAAATTATTTAAAAATCAGTTCTCGGCTTACACAGTATGGCCGGCGATATTAGCTAGCGCTCTCTCTACTCTCTCTAACGGGGAAGCAGCGGAATACAAGAGACTGAACTGTATCTGCCTCTATTTCCAAAAGACTCACGTTCAACTTTCGCTCACACAAAGCCGGGAAAATTTTATTAGTCCTTTTTTAAAAAAAGTTAATATAAAATTATAGCCAAAAAAAAAAGGAACCTGAACTTTAGTAACACAGCTGGAACAATCCGCAGCGGCGGCGGCAGCGGCGGGAGAAGAGGTTTAATTTAGTTGATTTTCTGTGGTTGTTGGTTGTTCGCTAGTCTCACGGTGATGGAAGCTGCACATTTTTTCGAAGGGACCGAGAAGCTGCTGGAGGTTTGGTTCTTCCGGCAGCAGCCCGACGCAAACCAAGGATCTGGGGATCTTCGCACTATCCCAAGATCTGAGTGGGACATACTTTTGAAGGATGTGCAATGTTCAATCATAAGTGTGACAAAAACTGACAAGCAGGAAGCTTATGTACTCAGTGAGAGTAGCATGTTTGTCTCCAAGAGACGTTTCATTTTGAAGACATGTGGTACCACCCTCTTGCTGAAAGCACTGGTTCCCCTGTTGAAGCTTGCTAGGGATTACAGTGGGTTTGACTCAATTCAAAGCTTCTTTTATTCTCGTAAGAATTTCATGAAGCCTTCTCACCAAGGGTACCCACACCGGAATTTCCAGGAAGAAATAGAGTTTCTTAATGCAATTTTCCCAAATGGAGCAGCATATTGTATGGGACGTATGAATTCTGACTGTTGGTACTTATATACTCTGGATTTCCCAGAGAGTCGGGTAATCAGTCAGCCAGATCAAACTTTGGAAATTCTGATGAGTGAGCTTGACCCAGCAGTTATGGACCAGTTCTACATGAAAGATGGTGTTACTGCAAAGGATGTCACTCGTGAGAGTGGAATTCGTGACCTGATACCAGGTTCTGTCATTGATGCCACAATGTTCAATCCTTGCGGGTATTCAATGAATGGAATGAAATCGGATGGAACTTACTGGACTATTCACATCACTCCAGAACCAGAATTTTCTTATGTTAGCTTTGAAACAAACTTAAGTCAGACCTCTTATGATGACCTGATCAGGAAAGTTGTAGAAGTCTTCAAACCAGGAAAATTTGTGACCACCTTGTTTGTTAATCAGAGTTCTAAATGTCGCACAGTGCTTTCTTCGCCCCAGAAGATTGAAGGTTTTAAGCGTCTTGATTGCCAGAGTGCTATGTTCAATGATTACAATTTTGTTTTTACCAGTTTTGCTAAGAAGCAGCAACAACAGCAGAGTTGATTAAGAAAAATGAAGAAAAAATGCAAAAAGAGAACACGCGTAGAAGGTGGTGGATGCTTTCTAGATGTCGATGCTGGGGGCAGTGCTTTCCATAACCACCACTGTGTAGTTGCAGAAAGCCCTAGATGTAATGATAGTGTAATCATTTTGAATTGTATGCATTATTATATCAAGGAGTTAGATATCTTGCATGAATGCTCTCTTCTGTGTTTGGTATTCTCTGCCACTCTTGCTGTGAAATTGAAGTGCATGTAGAAAAAATCTTTCACTATATAAAACTTTATAACACTTGTGAAAAAAAAAAATCAGTTCTCAGTGAAAAGGAATTATCATGTTACATTAAAGAACGTGTGTGTGTGTGTGTGTGTCTGAATTAGTTGCATTGATAGCTTCCAAAAGAAAAATAGAGGAAAATTCTAGGGTTCAGATAAAATGAACTGCTTCTAGTGACCAAAGGGAGGAGCGTTGAACCACAACATGAGAACAGCGTATGCTCTCATTTAGGAGACTGAAAACATCTCTTATCTGTTAAGTATCTCCAATATTCTTTAGCTTGTGAAATACTCCAGATAATCTCTATTTACATCAGATCTGATATTATTTTATACTGACTATGCATTTTATTGGCTTAACCAGAATTCAAAATTATACCTTTTATAATAATGCTTCTGATCACTTGCTTTGAAACAAATGCTTTCTATTTGAAAAATTATCAGCGACTTTAAAGTATAATAGTATTGATTTGGGAGCAACCAGGTCTGCACATTTATAAAAGGTAGGCTGACAGCTTGCTGCAGTGATGTGAATGATATAGACCAAATAGCTGATTAACATTTGTTGAGGATTTACTCTATTCCAGGCTTGCTTTTAAACATTTTACATGTAATATTTCATTTCATCCATGTAACAGCAGGATAACAGAGGTAATTCACTATTCCCACTTCACAGATAGTGAGTCTGAGGCACATACAGCTAATGTCACCTGCCCAACCTCATGCTGCTAGTAAGTGGCACAGCCAGGAGTACAACCCAGACAGCCTGATTCTAAAGCCCACACTCTTATCCCACCCTTTCTATCTTAAAACATCACAGTATTTTGAACTGCTGGAAAATGTCATCTTTTCCCCCTAGAGTACTAAAGAGAAATAAACAGTCTTGCTTATCTGGAGTTTCATACCAAATTATCTTCACATATACAGTGTTTTTGATCTTCATTTCTCTACAGTGAATACATCTCAGGATCATTAAGGGTGAACAGGTATCCATCAGCTCATGTTGACTGAGAAAAAAAAGATACTGTATAGCCCATTTTGAGTAGAAAGACATTCTGGTTTTTCCACTTTGAAATGTTTCACATACAGTTTTGGTGTATCCCAAACTCCTAACATAGATGCATTTGAAGAATCATTTAGTAACCTAAAACAAATACCAATAGATGTTGAGTGTCTTTAAGTCTATATCCAAAGAGGGAGGAAAGAGCAACAATCTTTTAAAAGTTACTAATTCTCTACCTAGACATGTTTCCATTTTTCATGGTTATAAAGAGTATTACTGCCAACCCCAAACTGCCCAAATTTCCACAGTCTCCAGATGGGCACATTGTGATGCTGCCTGGGCTATAAGTCACATCACAGTACTTTTCCTCAGATCAGCCTGGCAGCTCAGCCTGTCCAGTTTCCCAAGGAGGGTGGTGAGGTGGGGAGTGGTGCGAGACTTCTGAGTACTTTAAGTGGAAAGGAATTTTTAAAAGCTTGTATGACTATTTCTTAGGATGATGAGGAAATCATTTAATATGCAACCTTTATAGATTGCTGCCTAGCCTCTGAAACTCCAAAATCATTTCTAAAAAATATCAACAGAAAGGTTTCATACAAAATTCCTGCAATGTTAAATCCACTCAGTGTCCTGGCTACTGAAGACAAAGAGTCTGACACACAGTGCAGATGCAAAAGCCAGTTTCACTTCTAGCCTTCCCTGCCACCATTTTCACAAGAAAGTGAGGAGTCGCCATTGTCTTTGCTGAAAAACTTTTGTGAAGATTGGTGGATATTTTTCTCTCTTCCTGTTTAAACCTTGAAGAACAGAGTTGGCTGGGTGCGGTGGCTCAAGCCTGTAATCCCAGCACTTTGGGAGGCCGAGGCGGGTGGATCACTAGGTCAAGAGATCGAGACCATACTGGTCAACATGATGAAACCCCGTCTCTACTAAAAATACAAAAAAATTAGCTGGGCGTGATGGCACACGCCTGTAGTCCCAGCTACTTGGGAGGCTGAGGCAGGAGAATTGCTTGAACCCAGGAGGCGGACGTTGCGGTGAGCCGAGATCGCGCCATTGCACTCCAGCCTGGGTAACAAGAGCGAAACTCCGTCTCAAAAAAAAAAAAAAAAAAAAAAAAGAAGAACAGAGTTGAGTGGAACTTACTTTCTGTTTCTGTTATCTAGAGTGAATTATGAGGTTTAAGAGAAGCAAGTATGAATCTCTTGAGCTTGTGAAATCTCAAGTAGCTAAAAGAATTATTGACATTATTAAACTGGAAGTATTTGAATTTACCTGGATTTAAACCTGCATTGGCATTTTTTATAACATATATGACGACTGAATTTCTGTAGATCCAGTAGGAAATAGCCTATTTTTTTGGGAAAAATCATCTTCCTGAACTTTGCAGTTATTTAATCAAATCTGCATATGGTTCTGGTAGATTTATAGTTCTTTACTGCCTCCCTGACTTTGCATGTGTCTTCATACCACTTTCCAATTTCTTACTTCCTTTTTCTCCTTAACACAATACTCTCTTCCTCTCCAAAATCCATCAGTCTTTAAATGTTTACTTCAAATTCTATCTTCATAAAGTTTTTCTCATACTTTCTTTTCTGTAAACTCTTTCCTATGGCTTGAATGCTCGTGTCCCCTTGAAATTCATATGTTGAAACCTAATTCCCAATGTGATAGTGTTAAGAGGTGGAACCTTTGAGAAGTGATTAGGCCAGATTTCCACCATCATGAACGGGATTAACGCCCTCATGATAGAGGCTTTCGGGAGCTTATCCCTTTTGCCATTTGAAGATGCAGCAAAGAGACAGCAAACAGGTACCATCTGCGAAGCAGAGAAGAAGCCCTTACCGGCCATCAAATATGCTGGTGCCTTTACCGGAAATTCTTAGCCTCCAGAACTATGAGAAATAAATGTTTATAAATTGCTCAGTCTAAAGTATTTTTTCACAGTAGTCAAAAGGGACTAAAACACTCTATAGTCATTAATCATCTTTCTTACCTTCTATACTTATGAGAACTTAAGTAAGTTGCTTAACTTCTCTAAGCCTCAGTTTCCCAAGGGATAAATGGGGATAATTATAGTGCCTACTTTGTAGTGTGATTATGAGGGTTAGAGTATTTAATACATATAAAATATTATGATGGAGTCTGACACATTATAAGCATGTGACAAATATTAATTTTGATTAACATTTAATAGCTAATTGTATCCTTATTTTAAACGCTTTTCAATTTTTTTCTATTTTCCACATGGTAGAGATTAAAATTTATTGATTTATTTATAATATAATGCCAAAGATAATCTTTCTTCTAATTTTCAATTATATTGATAAAGAGTTGCCAATTGACAGTTTTCGTAAAAGTCAGCTTAATTACAATAAAATGTTTATTATAATTAAGCTGTATAAGTAAATAAAATTAAAACAAAAACATAAACTTAACTATAATAAAATGTTTTTAAATTACGTGAATTAATTATATTTAATTAATATACACAATATATAATTATATATTTATTATACATAAATTTTATTTATTTAAATAAATTTTTATTTTTATTATATAAAATTAATAAATTTATATAAATATAAAATTAATATAACTTAAATATATTTCTACATTTTAATTTCAATTTAATATCACCCATGATACACTAAAATAATCATTTATTTCCCCCACCCCAAATTTAAACCCATGAAATTGTATTTTTGGGAAATTCTTATCTAAAATATCTGTCATATTGTAGAACTTCTATGGATATGAATGAATCAATATCCTAGTTACTGATATAGACAAATGATTACGCACCAAGAATTTTGAAGTATGACTTTATTGTTTACTGAAATTGCATGCAGGAAGAAATAGCTAGTTTTAACACACTAGTGTTATGTCTTCTTTTTTACATGATTTAAACAGGGATACATCTCAAAATCTCTCCAAATCCCTCATAAATTTGTGATTTACAGGGGAGGGAGGGCCTCGTACTCTAAAGCAAACAAACTTCAAAAGGCTGTTTCAAGGTAAAATTCGGCAATATTAATTTGAAAGCAGGAACAGTTCAGCCATTTGTAGACAGTCATATGTCTGTCCAGAAACCAATGGTAGTGTGCCACCAAGGATTAAGACAGGGTCCCAAAGTTTGTTTGAGAGATAAAATACTAAGGTCATGTAAATCACAGGAGCCACTTTATCTTTATTACTTTGTTATCTTTAGAAAGTAGTTTTAACTCTTCAAGCAGTTTTAAACCATTGTGTAGTATTTTGCAATGGAGAAGACACTTTAGATAGGATGGAAATATCTCTTAAACCCTTCCTTTCCTCCTTTGCATTTCCACGTCTCTCCTCTAGTTTTGTTCTTATCACTTTATGCCTAACTCATAGGACTATCTCCTTCCCAGTCTTCCCATTTTAGTTTTATCCAAACAACTTTCCATGTAATTGTCTGTTTATATTCCCAAAGTGCTGCTTTCAGCACATATATAATGAATGGCTGGTCCATAGTAGCCTTGCTTTAAGTAACTTCCCACTGTCCCGAGGGAAAAACTTAAAATCACATCCGGCATGGTTTGTAAATCTCAGTAGGAAACTGTGGTATAATAAAAATTGTATTTGGTCTTTTTTCCTGGTTTCTTCTACAGAGCTTCTAAAACCCTCTGCAGTCCCTAAGTTATAGAGGTCTCTGTTATGCAAATGAAGTGGCTGACCATAGCCTCCTATATAGTTTCAGGATGGAGGCTGGTCACCAGAAAGACCAACCATGGGATTTGAGCACTCAAACTTTGGGCCAGCCTGACCTGAGTTAAAAAGTCAACTAACCAGGAGGGGAAGGGGGCTGGAGACTGAGTTCAATCATTTGGCCAATAATTTAATCAGTCTCATATGTATATATATATATATATATATATATATA